AAATCAGAGACGGAACAGAAAAATAATAAAATTGTGTAGTGAAGCAGGAAGGGCTCGGGATGAGAGAATGAGGATGTTTTGAGTCATCTGTGATGAGATTATTAGCATGAGCACTTTGCTTTGTGCTCTGTGATATTTTAAAAGAAGTCTGTGTCACTCATAAATGACTTTAAAAGTGAATCCTTTAGGGTGTTATAAGAAATTCTGAATTTTATAATAAGATTGGCCTCTGAGAAATCCAGAGACCAAATGGCTGGATTCAGGGGCAGAGCACAAGGAGACCTCTGATCCTGTGTGCTATTTTGAGACATTTGCCTTGAATTACCTGAACTAAGATGAGATGCCCAGCTGTGAGCTGACTTGAGTCCCTACCGCAGGGTGGAATCATGGTCCTAAATATGCTGTCCCACGGTTGGATAAATTGCGTGGGGAAATAGAGACTGACCCTTCATGAGGCACAATTGTTTTAGGAATACAACATGAATATCCATGAGAAATTATACAAGCTAATCTGAGCACAACCTTAAAAACTTCATATGAATTCCTTGGTTGGAACTGATGGTTGCAAACAGAGTTGGGGAAAACAGTGTGATGTGAGATCACTAGCATTTTTAAATAAACTTTTCATATGGTAGGAGATGAGTGAAACCCTGAAAATAATAGTTTTCACCCAGCACAGATGGGCACACAGCTCCTAAGGAATAAGAACCTTTTGGGAGAAGGGAAAGAAAATTCCTGGCAGATGTGCTTAGTGAGTAAAGGCCCATAATCTGCTGTCAGCTGCCCTGGAGAGCACAGAGCTACGTGAGACTGGCTACCAGGAAATTGCTGGGAGACCCCTGGGCATAATCTTCCATAAACTAGAGATGTCCATGGGGAAATCTGGATGTATAAAAATGTACTTCCACTCAAGTGCCTATATCAGTGACATACCTATAGTGATTAGGAGCTTGACCTTTTTTCTGAAATTACCTGGATTCCAATCCAGTTCTGTGATTTTTAGTCTGTGTAGCTATGGAGGAGTTTCTCTCACTGTTCCATTGTTCCCTCATCAGTAAAAGGAGAGAAATAACATTATCTAGCATAAAGTATAGTTAAGCAGATAAAATTAGATGATACATGGAAAGTAGTTTACGTACCTATGACTTAAGAAGCAATACAGAATCAGGACCTCTATTCCATTACTATTATTAATGTGAAAAAAAGACTTGAAGAAAATACACTGAAATGTTTAACAGTATACCTTGAAAAAATATTTGTATTTTTTGGTGTTTTCATGTTGTCTTCAATAAACATGCTACTTTAAATTAAGGGGAAAATTTCCTAATTGTCAAATTATCTCCAGGTCAGAAACATTCTTTTACAGAAGATAAAATACAAATGATGATGCCTGAGAAAAAGTTTCCATAAAAATCCTTGTAATGTTCAAATATGTGAACACCATTCAAATTAGACACAGCTTAGAGCTCTGCTATTCTCTATATAAAAACTGACATGTTTACTTATGCTTTACCTTAGGGTATAATACATGGGGAGTAGAAAGTTTGGGGATATGTAAAACTAGATTTGATATTCCCTAATGATGTTGCTTAGAGTCTCTTTTGTTTTGCAACTAATAATTTCACTTAAAATAATTAGCTCATGATTCCTTTGTAGTGATAGCTGAATACTATGCATTGTTTTTTGAAGGTCAGTGGTTAAAGTAAGTACCCTCAGTGGAATAAATATACCTTTTTCATGAAAAACTAAATAATATCAACTGAGAGTGCACTCTTCTAAACAGAATTTTGAATCATGTCAAGCAGATTCATCTCGTGTGTCCATCTTATATTCTTGTGATTTACTCCCTGTACCCTTTTCTGTGCCTTTTTTGGCTGGATATTCAGTCTTCTGTAGTCTTGGAGGACTGTAGTAGGATCTATTCATTTCAATTTACACCCAACATTTTTCTAGCATTTCCAATTTTTGGAATCTTTTTCTCTACTCTTCTTGTTATTATGTCCCCTGTTCTTCCTACCTACCAGGGTACTATGGTCTTTATAATAAATATGCAGAAAGATTAATTGGACAGAAGCATGAAAATACTGCTTTCCATTCATAATAAATGTATCAGATAATGCATTTATTGCAAAGATAAACAACTTTTTCCCAAAATTTATTTGAAACTCTTGTTTAAGAAATCCCTCAAGATACTGTATTCAATTACTGTAAACACATATAAGGGATCCCTTACATGTATTTGCACTCATTGAATACACAATACAGGAGAGCTGTGAAGTCTCCATGTATTCAAATGAAACCTGGTGCTTTATGCTTCAATCCAACTTGTGGGGATATCGCATTGTTTTCAAAAGTACAATTTGGACATTCTGGAAAACTATTCACCCCAAGTAGATTTCATAATGGAATGCCATTTTAACTAGCCCTGAATGAGGATGAATGCAAAGACAGTTCACTGTCACCCAGTGTCCTTTCTCACTGTTTCGGTCATAAGTGCAGCCCTCCCATTTTAGGGGTCTCATGGCTGCTCAGTCCGAGACGAGATGCACAGTCTCCGTTTGCATCCAAGGCTGCCATGTGAGCGACTGCACTCCTGCCAGAGAGATGTGAGCAGAGATGTAGGAAACCTTTCACAGATGTCCTTGAAAATAAGATTTTTTTCGTCCGTGTTTTCTTTTCCTTTCTGTGGAGTGGAATTCAGAAGTGATCACAGTCTCCTTCCTCAACACACAATGAGAGCAACCTCCTGGGGGCAACTGGTGCTGAGAGCAGGGATCAGGATCCCGGGATGACTGTGCGGGAAGAACCCCCTGCTCTGGGAGCCGTCTACAGCTTGGACTTTCCCGTGAGAGAGAAATAGCTCTTCTACGTGTGCCAGCCCCATTTATTTTGGTCTCTTGCAACAGCCAACAAAATACTACTTGAGGATATAGGAAACAATATTTTTTTATAATAATCAATTTGTATAGCATTTTTTACTGTACAAAACATTCTTCAGTTTCTCAAAACTCACAAAATTCTGTGAAAGAAGCACTATTACCTTAATGACACAGATGAAGAAGCTAAAGCTTAGGAAAGGTGGCTTTGTCAAATGTCACCCCAATGAATGAGTCTAAATATAAACACTTCTCACGATACAAATCTAGTTTTAACAACAACTGGTAGTAGCTACCATAGACGCTGCTTGTTAATGTCTCTTCTCTGTGAGTCTATCAGTACTGCCACTTTACTGAGTCCTGGCTGGAATCCTGACTTAACCTTTGACCTCTAGTAGGTTGCTTACTCTCTAAGGACCTCAGTTTCCTCATCTGCTTATATAAAGGGTGGGCAGACACGTGTTTTTTAAATAGCAAATTGCATTTACTTATGAACATCATCAGTCTATTGGCTCAACTGCAGAGATACCCAATCAGGCTTATTTTATTTACATAAAATAATCTTTAAAATACATATTAAATTCTTACTGGAATGCCACAACTCATAGTATGCAGGTCTTACACAATTTGGCTAGCAAGTAGTCCTTAGTAATGAGCAGAAAATCAGTTTGGGTTGTATTGAGAAAGGGACAATATCCGGACACCTCTGATTGAACTACCCCAGCACTTAGGCACAAACAACACTGACCCCAGGGTTACAAGCAGCTTGCCTCCCAGCAGAACTCAAAGAGGGAATACATGTTTACTGCACCCTGTGGGTGCATGTATGTTCTGCATCTCTTCTCCAAACTGAGCATTGGACACTAAGAAAAACCCTTTTCAGTGTAAATTCCTACGTAGAAATAAAAAGCATGCTTAGAGAGGTGGACAGTGGGTTCCCTGACTGGAAGGTGCTGCTATTAGAAAGATTGGAGTGGGTGAGAGATGTCTAGGAAAGCAGAAATCAATAGCAAATTTGTTTTTGTTTACCCCATTTAGATCTAGTCATGTTACTTTTCCAATTTAATCCCCATGTTTAACTAAAAATTACTTTTTTATTTTTATCCTTTGAAGTTTAGTGAGACATCTCCTAATTTATTGCAGAGGGGCTCAGGAAAGAAGAAAACATAATTGATATTATTTATGTTAATTCTTTAACCAAATTTTCCTTCCTTGAAATACTAAAAGAATGCAAATCTGGCTGCAGAGAGATCTGTGCTGTAGTCCCAGCTTTGCTGAAACCACGTTAAGTCTTTTAAACCTTATTTTCTAATCTGAAGTATGTGAATAATGTGCAAGGTTATGCGAGATTAGAGATGATATGTGTAAAATACCTAGCACACATTAGCAGAGTATATGGATCATACGCTGATTTGCTGTGCACCTGGGCTAAATTAATCAAGCTTCAGTAATGGCTTGGGTACAGGACTGTGCAACAAAGGATCTAACAGAAGTGTGTTGATGATTAAGCTGAGGATATATGTAGCTCGTGCAGAATCAAAACCAGCATAATGCTTACCCACCATTCCTTAACTTACTCCTATTGGCCCAAATGAGGCAGCAGTGGTAGAGAAGACGTGGTTATGAAGCTTGATCACGGTCTGGAGCAGTGGAAACAAAAGCTGGGAGATCCGCCATGGTTTTGCATGCATTAGTGGTGAACTGCTGACCCTTTCACCGCTTCTCAAAAAGTAGCTAGAAAGTCTTTGCTTTTTTAAAGGACAATGATAATCTTTAGTTCATTGTCTGCAAAATATTTTGTCAGACACCAATACAATCCTTTTCTTTGGTGTACACTGAGGAGTTAAAGGCATTCTGTAAACTTTTTTCAGGGGGTTTTAGCATTTTCATTTAGCTGATTAGAATCTGTTATAGATGATAATTATGCCAGGTTTAAAAAAAATTATTCAAACACTCAACAATGATTTTACATCTTTAAATGTCTTATACCAGATTTTTATTCCTCAAAGAGCTTCTGCTTAAAGAAAATTTGCTTAGATTATGCCCTTTTATCATAGTCTCAATAAATGTTAAATCAATGCAAAATGAGTGGATTTGTATTTCTAAAAATAACGTCTTTCACAGGAAGAAGAATTGAGGAAGAGCGGGGAAGCCAAATATGCCCACTTGAGTGATGAGCTTCACGTATTAATTGAAGTGTTTGCTCCGCCTGGGGAAGCTTATTCACGCATGAGTCATGCACTGGAAGAGATTAAAAAGTTCCTGGTTCCCGTAAGTGTTTTTCATTTCTTAAAAGGATGTTTTTCATCAGTTTCTATTAAAAAAATGTGCCTTTGATCGTCACCGACTTTTTAGAAGCAAACGTATATTGCAGACTAATTACTTATAGAGTTGATATGAAAGTAAAATAAAATAGAATACAGAATTAGCATGGAGTCTGGCATGTTGCTACATAATGATGATTTGACAGCATTATTTGTCTTCAGTACGTTACATGCCTTGTACCAGTTCATCCCCATGAAGAATAAGACAATAAACACATAAACACAAATACATAATTGAAGTTGTATATTTTCCCTTTTGTGTTTTAATCACTTTGTATTTGACATGTATTATCTATAATTAATTAATAGAGAAATCATTTGTAGTTAGAGTGGGAGGGGAGAGAGATTAGAAATCTAGTATTTATAAGAAAATAATGGTATTATTTGAAACTATCAAATGTATTTTTATGTGATGGTATGCCTGGTACTGGCTCATTGCAGAATGTAATGTAAAATAATCAATATTAATAGAGCCAGACATTTGTCAACATTAGGCAAAAATTGGAAAAATAAACTCACTGCACTATATGAGAGCAATAAAGAATATTCATTTAGTAAGGTGGTAAATTCAGATTGCATATTGAATAGAATTCTCTGCTGATTTTCTAAGAACCAGAGAAAAGTTGAATGAAGCTTTTATAAAGGTTGACAATTTAGCATTCTAGGAAGAGGTCATTCATACAGAAATCTCAGCATCAGGTTTTGAGCTGGGAATAAGATTTTTGGAAGAGAATGCTGAGTAAAGTTTTCTGGAGTGCCTACACAGAAGTCTTGGGCAGAGAGAGAGAGAGAGAACTAAGATTAATCTATGCAATGGAGAAACACCATAGATTTCCAAACTAAGTAATAAACTCAGAGGAAATGGTAGGTAAAACATTGATTGGCAGTGATTTTGAGAATGGGAGGAAAAAAAACAATTTCAGAATGTTAAAGCATCAAAATCTAACCACATAGTCTATTTATATGCCAGTTTAAAAATTCTATCATGACAAGGTTATAGAATAACCTGTGATTATTCCCTAACTTTATATGCACACAGAATTTCTGCACAATTTATTACCTGGTGCTTATCTGAACCCCTCCTTAAGTAGATCTCATATTTCTGAACAATGAGGATGCTATATTCTTTCTTCCTTGTGTGTGTGAACTAAATCCTGGTGCTATTGGGTAAACAGTTTTACCATGTTTAACTCAGATCAGACTTTTGGTGACACAGAGGTATTGCAAAAGGCTAGGACTACCTGTAGTACTCATTTCATGACAAAAGACAAGTCTTCTAAATTCTCAGAGCTTCAGCCTATTCAGCTTTAATAAGAAGATAATTATAATTGACTGACCTCTATCACAGTTATTGTGAATAGTAAATGGGGTAATAAATATGAAAGGGCATAGAAAGTTATAAAGCACTATATAAATGTAATAATTTTGTATTTGATTTTATTGTTATGGTAGATGGAATCTTAGAGTGACTTTATAAGATGAAATATGTAAGATGAAATACTATTTCATTGCTATCTGTATATTGGGCCTAGGCTGTAAGCTAGGTTAAACTTGCTTTATTATAATTGCCAGTAATCCATATCTCATTTACTCACTTCTTAGACCTAATGATACTTGTAATCACTTCATTTATATCTTCTCCACTGAAATGTGCCCTCTCACAGGGCAGGGCTGGCTGTGTCTCTCTTGTGTTCCAATGTTCAGACTGGCACAGTAAGTGTTTGAAAGTCTGACTGATGGAATGGCGAATAGCCTCAGCAATTATGCAGAAGGATAAAACAGCGATCTTGGTCACTTTTGGGACTAGATCAATGTGCTCTGCATATCTGGATCCAGATGAACCAAAACCTTGGCCGTGTGACCCGACGCTGCCTCTTGCTGTGCTCCAGACACGCTGGTCGCTCATCCCACACTCCAGGCTCATGTTCATTCTGGGCCTCTGAAGATTCCTCTCTAAAATATCAACACAGCTATCTTCCCGTCATTCAGGTCTTGGCTCAGTGTTAGCCACACAGTCTATAGTAGCCTCCTTACCTTTGTGTAATGCTATTATATTGCGTTGCCAGCATCACTGGCCACCCAATCTAACATGGCAATTTATTGTTCCACCATGCCCTAGACCTCTTCACTTACTTTATTTTCCTCAAAGCTGTTATCACCTTCTGACGTACTCTATTTCTTAACTTAACTTGTTTATTGTTAGCTTCCCTGCTAAAATATAAATGTCATGAGACAGGGATTACTGTCAAGTTTCACTGTTTTAAATCCCCCATTTTAAACTATGCCCATCACATAAGCACTTAATGAATATTTTTTTGTGAGTGAATGCATGATTGAGTGAATGCACTTTTAAAAAAGAAATAACTTTTCTGGTACCTCTCAATGTCATATTAGCAAATTTTAGAATCAATCAAAGTTCTTCTGTTTAATAGAATTTCCCCATTTGCCTTGCTTGTCTCAGCCTCAAGCAAAGGGTAGCATTTGGCGGCTTCCTCCATCACCAGAAGCCCAAGAGGGATGTATGAACTGCTACTTCTTTATTTAGTATATGAAATCACTTGGTGACCCAGGTTTCTTTTGACATTTGATATTTAAGTCCACAGAAATGCTGAACATATTGAGACATTAACATTAACTAACATTATAGGTGAAGAATTCTAGCCAGTAAGGCACAACTTAGAAGGCTGATGTACAGTAGAACTGGAATTCCGCAGCCTTCTAATTCCTTTCAGAATATAGAGTGTCTGCCCATGGCTAGAACTTCTTCCTCCCCTTCTTCTAAGTTATTCAACATTTACACAACTTGTTGTACGTTCACGGATGATCATCATCGATGACTGACAACTTTAGAACATAATTCCTCAAGAAATGTATAAGTGCTGTAAGATGTTGGAAACAACACAGTTTCAGGTCTTTAAGTAAAATGTTAAAAACAAAAGAGTTATTATTGCCCTCGGGAAAATTTCCAGCTTGCTGCTCTCCATTCAGTCACTATCGCCTTATCAAAATGAGTAGCAGGTCAGTAAAACATCAATAAATCGAACCTTCCTAATTTTAAATCTCTAATGCTTTGAGCAGGTGTTATATTAAAGTTTTCACTGTATTTGCTAATTAGTCTTAAGAACAGATTAGGATTGTTAAATAAAGAACATGACAAATAATGACAAAGGGATATAACATCTTAATGTTTGTCTCAATGTTAATGACCTTCTCTTCCCTTTATAAGCTCTAAAGGGGTAAACAAATACTGTCATTATCATTTTTTATAATATGCCTTTCTTTTTTATTTTAGGCATTAGGGTTGCCACATATGGTCGTGCAGGTTGTGCCTTACACAATGCGAGGGGGCAAGTGACATTCACATCATAGTTTGTGATGACACCTCCTGGTATCCCTGAATACAACTTCCTTTTTTCCAACCCCATCAGCAGATTACCATAAAGTAATAATACTGTATTGTATTTCCTTAATTGACAGACTCTCACCTTCAATTAAATTGAATTAGTAAGTATTTTTAATGGTTAATAAAGAACTCAAGATTGAAACATAATACATTGTCTCATAATTAGAATTTATGAAGGTTCAGTTCAAATCCTGCTCACTGAATCTTCATCCTTTGATAAAAGAGATGAAAAAAGATACTTCCACACACACAGAAATTAGATTTAGGTCCCAGATAAATACTTCACTTTGTTATCACCCCAAGAATTCATTAAGACATCAAAATACTCATTTCTCACAAGCCCCATCATGGCCTCACAAGCCTTCCCAGCACGGAGTCCTCCCGAGCACTGTAATATGATTGGAGTTGACGGAACTTGAAAAGTATTTGTTATGTTCAGGTGAAGTTCCTAATGATCATCATGAGACGTTTGTATCACTTAACGGAAAGATATAATATATATCTCAAATCTTAACAAATAACTCTCTCCTATAGAAAATAAGCCAATCCAGAGGGCCATTCACAACTCCCTGCGATTAGTTCCTCCTGAATGTCAGGAAAGAAGACATACTGTTTGAAGCATTTTTATGCCTTCTATAATAACACCTAAAATGGTGTGAATAAACACATACACACACACCACACACACACACAGATATAAAATTTTACATGAGTATGAAAGTTATATATATGTATACTAACACATGTATATATGCTAACATATACATATTAACAAAAGCTATACATACATACATAAAACATTTATGTTTCATATATGTATGTACTAACATAAATATACTAATATATGTGTATATATACACACACTAAAAATGGACACATACATACAAATATATATAGTATCTTTTACATCTGTGTGTGTGTGTGTGTGTGTGTGTGTGTCCTTTGTTAGTCTGACCAGTGTCACATATAAGACTTTACATCAATTCAGCACAGGAAAAAAATACATCATTCCAGGTTGTTTATTTCTTTCCTGCATTACATTGGATGTATGTCTTGGTGACAGCTGAAATTCTTGAAATGGGGCAGTTAGGGCATATTATATCATTTTGAGTTTGAAATATTGGAAACCTATGTAGGAAACCTACTAAAATTGTAGCTGTGAAGAAAAAGCAAAACCCTTTTCCTCTTGAAGGTAAGCAAATACAGGACATTCTTGCTTTCTACTTCAAAGACTGTAATCCTAGCCCTGAAATTGGAAAATGACACTGATTGCTAACAACAATCATACAGAAAAGTAAGTAGATATAAGGAAAACAGAAAAGAAAAATAGTGCATTTTCAGTCTAGGAGATGGAAAAAGATCTAGACTTCCATGCACTGAAAAAAATATTTTATAAAGTTTTGGAAGATGATAAACATAAGAATGTGTTCCTGAAGTTCATGCTGTAATTTGGTTAAAAAATGAAAATTTGGTCAGTTTTTTATGCAGATAAATATGTAGAGAACCAGTGTGTTGAATAAAACCCACTAGCCAGCCAAACCAAC